GCCGCCGCCCGCGGGCAGCGACGAGGACATGATGGCGAGCGGCGTCCTCGAGGTCCGGGGCAAGTTCGGCCGCGTCGTGTCGCCCCTCTTCGTCACGCGGGGCCCGCGCATGCCTTCGAGCGACTACACGACCTACGACGGCCCCGGGTCCACGTGGCCGCCGCCGCGGTCGCCCGGCGCGCCGCCCGACGACCAATCGGACGCGGCGCCGCCGCCGACGCCCGAGCGGCCGCGCGCGGGCGCGCCGCGGCCGAAGACGCGCGACACGGCCCTGCCCGGGCCGGGCCTGACGCCGCCCGGCACGCCGCCGGGCGAGCGCCTCTTCCAGGAGTACGAGGGCGCCCGCTGCCGCACGCCCTTCGCGGTCTTCGCGCCCAGCCCCCGCGCGCCGTCGACGGCGCCGCCGAGCCGGCGCCGGCCCGAGTCGCTGCTCGGTGGGGCCCAGCGCGGCCGCGCGCCCCGGGACGACGGCCTCGACGACGACGACGACGCGCTCGCCCGCGCCGAGTGCCCGCCGGCGGCGCGGTCGCCGCGCGCGCCGCGGACCGCGCCCGGCGGCCGCCGGCCCCAGGCCGCGAGCCTCTTCCACGGGTCGTCGACGCTGCCGGCGAAGCGGCCCACGTCGACGCCCCAGATGAAGTTCTCGCGGAAGTGGACGAAGCCGGAGAAGACGTTCGTCGTCACGCAGCGCGAGTTCGCGCGCGACAACGTGCGCTTCCTCGCGCAGATCGGCCGCTTGGAGGCGGACCACCGGGACCGCGGCGGCGCCGGCGAGCCGGAGCAGAGCGAGGCCTTCTGGGAGAGCGCCGCGGCGAACGTCGCCGCGGCGCTCGACCCGGACGCGGCCGTCGGCGACAGCGACGACTACTTCTGGTAGCATAAGTTGGGCCGGTGGACGTTGTTGAGGGGCATGGCCGGCCGCTGCTCGGGCAGGGGAGCGCTGATGGGGCTCTATGCGGCGGCGACGTGCTGTGCAGCATTGACATGCCGAAGATTTGGCCGCGTCACCACATCGTGCGTCGTGTGATGGCTCGAGGCTTGGTTGGTTCCTTGTAACCTAAACCAGACAGGTTGCGTCGACGCAGCCGTGCGAGCGACTCTACTCGGTTTTGCTGCTTTGCTGCGCTACGCCGAATTTGGCAGCAGCTGCCGTCTACGAATTCGCGCGATGAAAGTCTGCTGGCAGTCAAGAGCGCCGGGCTCGAGCCGGCGCGCGCGGCGCTCGTCGATGCGCGCGTTAATCCTAGCTGCTCTCGCGACGTTCACAAATGCACTGACGCCGCCGAAGCCGCTGGACGCGTTGCGAGCGCTGACACAGGCGGCCGGCGACGACGTGCGCGGCGTAGCAGACGCCGCAGCCGAGCTGTCAGGCCGAGTGGCCCTCGCGCCGGAGAGCGTCTACTGGATCGGCGCCGGCTTCCGCTCCTGGCTCGGTTCCGACAAGCCCGTCGCCGTCGGCCGCGACCCGCGCCTCACGAGCGAGGCCATCGCCGAGTCCTTCGTCGAGGGGTCCCGGGGCGTCGACGCCGGCGCGGCGACGACGCCGGCCATGCTCGAGACGCTCCTCGGCGACGGCGCGGCCTGCGGCTCCGTCATGGTCACGGCGAGCCACCTCCCGCCGGAGTACAACGGCCTGAAGTTCTTCTCGAAGGCGCTCGGCCGCGGCCTGAACAAGCGCGAGGTCAAGGAGGTCATGGCCGCGGCCGAGGCCGCGGTCGAGGCCGGCGCGCGGCCCGACACGTCGTACGCGGCGCCGAACGCCAAGGACGCGTGGCGCGCCGCCGCGGGCTTCGGCAACGACGAAGTCGCGGGCTTCATGGACCCCTACGTGGCCAAGCTCCGCCGGACGATTATCGACGTCGCCGGCGGGGGGGACGCCAAACCGCTCGCGGGCTTCAAGATCTGCGTCAACGCGGGCAACGGCGCCGGCGGCTTCTTCGCCACCGAGGTCCTGGAACCGCTCGGCGCCGACGTGTCGAGCAGCGTCCATCTGGAGCCCGACGGCACCTTCCCCGCGCACCCGGCGAACCCCGAGGACAAGGCGCACGTCGCCGCGACGGCGGAGGCCGTCGCGTCCTCCGGCGCCGACGTGGGGGTCATGCTGGACACGGACGTCGACCGCTGCGGCCTCATCGACGGCGCGCGGAGCCCCCCGGAGCCCGTGCACCAGAACCGCTTGGTGGCGCTCTGCGCGGCCGTGGCGCTGGAGCGCGACGCGGGCGTCATCGTGACGGACCCCGTGACGTCGGGGGGCATGCGCGACTTCATCGAGGCGCGCGGCGGCGTCCACGACCGCTACAAGATGGGCTACCGCAACGTCATCGACCGGGCCGCGGACACGAAGCCCGAGCCCGCGCTCCTGGCCATCGAGACGTCGGGCCACAGCGCGTGGAAAGACAACGCCTTCGTCGACGACGGCTGCTACACGGCGGCGAAGCTGCTGGGCCGCCTCGCGCGGTTCCGCCGCGAGGAGGCGCGGCCGGACGCGGGCCTGCTGGACGTGCTCGGCGACGGCCTCGCGGAGCCCGCGGAGTCGATCAAGGTCAAGATGAAGGTCGCGTCGCTCGCCGCGGTGCCCGCGGCCGAGGAGGCGCTCTGCGGCGCGCTCCGGGCCGCGGCGGGCGCCGTCGACGCCTGGGCCGTCGAGCCCGTGAACCACGACGGCCTCCGCTGCAGCATCGGCAACGACTGGATCATCGCGCGCGCGTCGCTCCACGAGCCCCTCGTGTCCGTCCAGCTCGAGTCCGACGTCGCCGGCGGCACCGCGGCGATCTGCAAGACGCTCATCGACTTCATGGGCGACTGCGAGGCCGCGGGCGTCGACGTCGCGCCGCTGAAGGACGTCGCCGCCGAGGCCGACGACCCCGACGAACCGCCGCCGCCGCCGGGGGCGGTCGACGACCCCGACGAGCCGCCGCCGCCGCCGGGGGCGGCCGACGGCCCCGACGAGCCGCCGCCGCCGCCGGGGGCGGCCGACGGCGCCGCCGCCAAGGCCGTCGGCACCGACGAGCCGCCGCCGCCGCCGGGGGCGGCCGACGACGCCGCCAAGGCCAACGGCACCGACGAGCCGCCGCCGCCGCCGGAAGCGGCCGACGCCGCCGCCGACGGCCCGAAGTCGGAGCTCGAGGCCGCGCTCGCGGCCAAGGACGCGGAAATTCAGGAATTGAAACGAAGGCTCGAGGAGGCCACGCGCGCGCCGCCGCCGCGGGTCGTCGACGAGCCGCCCGCCGCGGAGGACGACCCCGTCACCCCGGAGGCGGACGGCGTTTCGACGCTCGACAGGCCGCCGCGGGCGTCCCCCGCGGCTACGGCCGCCCCCGCCAAAGCCGTCGACGCGACGCCGCGGGCGTCCCCCGCGGCTACGGCCGCCCCCGCCAAAGCCGTCGACGCGGCGCCGCGGGCGTCCCCCGCGGCTACGGCCGCCCCCGCCAAAGCCGTCGACGCGGCGCCGCGGGCGTCCCCCGCGGCTACGGCCGCCCCCGCCAAAGCCGTCGACGCGGCGCCGCGGGCGTCCCCCGCGGCTACGGCCGCCCCCGCCAAAGCCGTCGACGTCGCGCCGCGGGCGTCCCCCGCGGCTACGGCCGCCCCCGCCAAAGCCGTCGACGCGGCGCCGCGGGCGTCCCCCGCGGCTACGGCCGCCCCCGCCAAAGCCGTCGACGCGGCGCCGCGGGCGTCCCCCGCGGCTACGGCCGCCCCCGCCAAAGCCGTCGACGCGGCGCCGCGGGCGTCCCCCGCGGCTA